GGCGAAAACAATCAACAGTATATTTGGAGGGGAACTTCCAGCTATTCGTCACTTTTGACATCCGATTGGAGGTCATGGTTTCACCACTTTCATGGATTACATACCCCTAACCCGTTCTTCTGCCTCGGCATGCGACAAGTACTCCCTTCGGGAGTCACAACAACTGCACTACATTTCCCACTTCACTTCGGATATCCGCCACATATCTGCAGCGGATAACCCCGTGACTGACACGTTGTCTCAAATATCTTCGATGAACTGTACTGAAGGTTTCAACCTTGGTGGATTTGCTCGGTTTCCAAGTGGGGACCCTGGCCGAACCGTAAGTTGTTATCCGCAACCCTCAAGCTACAGCGACATGCAGAAGGATCAGGTACAGACATTATTCTGTGCTATGTATCCGTTAAGCAACCACTCCCGATAGTTCGCAGATATCCGCGCAAGGTTCTCAATACGTCACACAGGCTATCTCATCCAAGTCTACAAACCACCGCTAGGCTTTTCCCTCAACGTTTCTGCCTGCCTGGGATGGACAAAGACGCTAAACGTGACCACAGCTGTGCGCGGAGGTCAACATTATGAAATCATATGGCACACGAGGGGTCCTTTAGGTCATTCTCTAGTCCCAGAAGCGCATCTCAACCACGTGTATGTGGATATTTTAAGACCTCTGTCATACTTTGATGCAGACATACATCTTATCACCTCCATGGATAGCCTTACCAGATGGCCAGAAACGGTACCCATTGAAGATGTTACTTTTCAAACCGCTGCCCTTGCAGCTCCAGAAGCAGCTCAATGGACTGAGGCGCTGCCTCTAGCTGCCTCTAGTATATGACACAAGTTGAAGTCCGATTCTGAATGCACTTCCACAGAACATATTTACAGAACTACTCTTCACCTATCAGTTGGACTCGTTTCCTCTCTAGCTTCCACACGTGTTGTTGGTAGAACGCCTTGCGGGACCAGGCTTGCAGAGGCGATTCCTTTAGTTAGGTCCACCCCTATTCGACCTCACAGAACGGGTGTATTCATTCGCACTGTTGCAAAAGGCACCACACGTTCCTACCTCAGTTTAAAAGGTTATCAACTTCAACAGTAAGTTCTTGTTAGTAATGATACTATTAATAGTAATAATTTATTCTTTTAAACACAAGCATACGCCGATTTACAAGTGTGATTATATAGTTATACTAACTAAATTTCTATGCTGCTAGTGCAGGGATAATTTAAAATAATTAGTGCAATATGCGAATGAAAAAGAATGTGTTCAGTTGAAAACAAAATATCAAGTTCCGGCGACCAAAACATTTAACAAAACACTGAGCACATCATGGAACTATGGAGAGGAAAAGAGTCCTAAATAATATTCGTGGCATATGCCGTTATATTCGCGATAACTTGAAATTTGACTGGGTGCAGTAGAATCGACATTTCGGGAATACGTCAGGAATGGTGATCAAAGTTTACGAGTGACTGTTTTTAGCTAGTGAGAGTAAAGTTTATCTGGTGACCTCACAAGTGTTTAACCCACGAGAGGCCGCCATAGTTCGCATTCCAAATAGGAATGCCAGTGTCTTCCCACGCTGGACAGGAGTTGATGTGGAATTCGGCTGCCAATATAAAGAAGACTGCGTCATAGTCATAATCGAAGATATATAGCAACCGAGAATATCCAAATAACATAAACAGGTAGGCACTCAGTGGTTAGTTTCCATAAGTGAGACAGTCATATAGAAAACAAGACGAAAGTGCAAAGAAGATGAATAAAATTGTGAAACATGAAGTATTGAATGATATGCCCCAAATACTAAAGTAAAGATAATTCGTTCGTACAGCATGTAAAACCATGTTTATTGCACTATGATGTTGTGTTTGTTACTGCTAAGAACGGTTGGTTAATGCTAGATTAAACAGCTCCACGCAGAAATCGCACTTAGTCGTTATGAAGAGCATTATCAAACCTAGCCGAAGTACAAGGCACGTAGGATACGGGGAAAAAGTAGATGGCCTTTATTAATGAGGCCCCTAGAATATTTCAAGCATTTCCCGGGTATGTTATCACTCAGGAGTTATTAGAGTTGGTGAGCACTGGAAACTTGAGGCCGACAGCCAAACAGGATTACTTACCGTGTGAGACAGTATCACTAGGATGAGCCCATACACATATGCATAGTATAAATATGCGGAGTACTAGTTGGCAAGGATAGAAAAGGGGAGCGGAACCAATGAGGCCTCTGACTGGTATTAATCTTCGGGCAGTTGAAGTTTCTGAAAAAACCTAGAGGCTTAGTGGCCCAACATTATTTGCAGTGACCCCCTCCCGCTGCTCACTTCTCCTCCTTTCCCTTGTAGATGCTATTCAAACCCAAACATAGTGATCACCACACACTCCTCATGCCTTGAAACTAACACACTGGAAACCGACAGTGCAGTCCCCACCACAATATCAAAAATCACACTATTTCCCCCAACTTCAGGAGATATAGAAAGAAATTACCGTCTTATACCAGTGGTACATTCACCAGGGAATGCAGGCTTTACGAACCTTCGATGCTTTGAGGCCTTTACCTCAACTGTGACCGTGAGCTTTTATTCCATGAATTACCTACTCGCTAAATATTCTGATGCATCTGTGCCTGTACCTGACAATTTCTGTGCTACGCCAAAACTCACCTCTCCGCCGAGAGCAACACTGCTGCACAACGAACCCAGACAAGTGGCAGACACATCCAGTTGAATTGGAGAACAAGAAACCGATAAGAGTGAACCTTGTGGACAGCTAAATACGTGGGTAAAATGGATCCATTCACAATACAATCCTTAGCACAAGATAACTAGTATCTGTTTGTAAAACAAGCCGACAGGATGCGGTATCCGTTTCTCTCTCACAACGCCTACCGCCAAATTATTCCGCCACGTGGAAGGCACTGTTCACGGATGCTTCGCAATCCCGGTCTTTCTGTCGTCTTTTGATCATTTTTCCTGGGGAGGGAGTAGGAAATGCAATAAGTGCTGTCATCTGAAGTGGTGTCAGCGCCACGCGGTGCCAGGCAACTCCATCTGTAGCGTTTAAGGCGATTTTAATGGGATACTACGCTTGTTTCACTATACCCCCTATCCTCCACCACTTCTTAGATTTCTTCTGTTACTGCCCCGGGCAACAACGTACGAAGCATTCCACTCTGGCACCGGCTTACCTGCGCGACTATCTACCTTGCCAGATTATCTGAACAAGCCTTTTTGACAATCTCGAACAGCGCTTCCCATTGCTTTCTGTCTATACCAAGCCTTATCAATTTCATTTCGGGCGTAGTTTCAGTACTCCATAACCTCACCAGAATTCCTGAAACCGTCAGTGGGTTGACCCGTTGTGTGGTTATCAAGGTGTAACTTGGTTATGGTTAACCACGTCCTGCCCGCAAAAGGAGGAGGGTCTGGAGTGTGGAGAGATATGTACTTCCTCCGTGTGCTAGTAAACACTGATATAGCAGGGTATTCCACCCAGCTTCTTTTTCTATTTCTATAAATGCACGCATTAGCGATTTAATCGTTCAGCTCGTTCTTTCCACCAAACGTTGCCTCTGAGATGATATCCCGTAGTTTGAGATCCACGAGTACCAGAAAACTGACACATTTTTCGCGCCACTAAGCTTCCGAAGTTTTAACCTTGGGCTGATTGCGACTGCCCCAGGGTCCCCCGGAGGGCAATCATTTGGTTGAACAAAACCCTCACAATAGGGCTGGCATCCACCTACTTCACCGTTACAGCTTCTTTCCCTTTTATAAGGTAATCTACCATTACTAAGATGTACCTGTCTCACTTAGTGGTCCTTTAGTATCCTCACCAACAGTTTCCATTGGATAACCAGCCTTCATGTTAGCCAAAGGTGCTCTGGCATTTCTTGGCGGATCTTTTAACCACTCGCAATCTACACAACCTCACCAAAAACTTAGAAGATCCCGCCGTTGTCTTGGCCACCTATACCGCCACTTAATCGCCTGGACCACCTAGTTTGTCCCCCATTATCTGGGCCACCATTCACTTTGTTGCCGACTGCCGTTGCACATGATTGTGACACCGCCATCCTGCCAACGTGTTTGGGGCCATGTCGGGCACATAAAATGGGGTCTACTACCACCAGCCAGTCCCGTAGTACCCCCGCTGGAATCTTGTTTCCTAGCTCCCATCCTAATCTCAGTCTCCGCTGGTCTACCTTCCCCGCCCCACAACTCCATGCACAGCACTCCTGTCTCAGCATCAGTAGCTTGTGTGTGAGACAGCTGGGGGCTACTGAGTTTTGCTGGTGACACTGTGCAAATATGAACTTCAAAACCACGAGGGTAAAAGCTGTGTTTTATAACTGATCGTCCGGACAACATGTCGGGATTTAAATGCTGCCTCCCAGGCCTGTGTCCCTACTCTGAATCCCATCCCTGTGGGTATTTCTGCCACCAAGCAGTTTTCCTTTTGGGTCGTTGAAGTTCTGTAGCCGCCGTAGAGCCTTGTGCTTTGATTGTAATGTGGAGCGTCTGCCTAGAAGGTATAACCTACACCTGGGAATATAAGTTACCCCAGCTGAAATGTCTTTACGAGTAATAAAGTAACTTCTCTACTATCGACTCAAGGTATGGCTCCCGAACTCCATGGCGTGTTAATCACAATCCAGGCTTACCAGTGCCAGCAGCCCAATAACTCGCGTCAGTGTCCAAAATGTACATACCATCAGCAGATGCCTCAGGGCAGGCCGAAATCAGCGCAGAGGACGATGCGTTCTCAGCTTTCTAGAAGCAGCTTTCTAGCAGACCTTAGTCCACAAATAGAACAATTTTCCCCATGAGATGGGTCAATGGACTGGCTATGTCATCATAGTTCAGAACAAAACGGTGACGCCGCGTAACTGATCTGAGGAAACTACATGACAAAATCTAGAAATAATCAACTTTCCTCAACTCACCATATTGTTGTTGTATGTTGGATTTGGCCTTGGACGTTTTAACACACCCACCTCAGCAGCCGCATTTATGAATTAATGAAGCGTTTAATCTCTATAATCCTATCGACCGTTTATTTGGTTGGTGCGTTTGGCGAAAACATCTCCTTGAAAAAGGATTTCTCCGTTCAACCAGGTGGGAGGACGTATTCTACAACAATTGAAAGAGTACTTCATGTATAGAAATGGAATCTAAATGTTTGACAATAGGATGGTATAAGTTGCACTTTTACTTATCAGTGTCAGGGTGGAACGAATGAGGTATACAGTTTTCATTCGTAACATTCCTTAGAAATGGCATATGATGCTTTCGAAAATTAGGGATGATAATGGTTACGGTTGCGTCGTGGAACGCTCTGGTAGCAAAACAAGTTACATTTTCTTCCAAAGCTTTAAGCTAGAAGTAAAACCATCAGTAGAAGCTCTGGCGGCATCGGCATTTGTAAGCAATATCAATTTAAGTTCATTTTTTAAGGGCAACAATGACCAACCGCTGTTGCTGGAGGAGTATACTTTCGACAAAAACCAACGTTCGGGTAAGTTTAGTTTATAAGTAACTTGTCATAGTGTCACATGTTGATGGAAAGTTCAAGGCCACTTTAACTCGCCTTTCACTGGAGTTCAATGGGATACCTGAAAATTCGGAACTTTGAGATAAACTGTTCTCCGTGTGTCTTTCACGTTGTGCCTTGTAAAGTTAATTTGAGAGTATAGGTTTATGTTTGTTGTTTCTGGAGCCACAGTGTTTATTTGACTTTGTAAATGCTTATTTGTATCTAAACTTCCTGTACATTTTGGTATGCAGTTTAACAGTTTATAGGATAATAAATTCCAAAACACCCTTATTTCGAAGCTAGTTTGGCGTTTCGTGGCGTCTCGCTTTCCACTTATCGCTTGCTTTATTTCTCAAGACTAAGTCATTGCTTCACATTGTTACATAAAGCACATGAAATATGCCATTTAACTAGCGTAACACTGGGTCAGTCCTTGGAGAACCGTTGTTCAGGTTGCCTAACATTCCCATGATACCTTAACAGGTATTATATTTTTGTTTTTTTCTGGCAGTTGAATTTCTTAACGAGTAAAAACAAAAAAGCTTTTCCTAGCAATTCATAGTTCGGTACTTTTGACTGTCAGCATTGGTAAGTCGTTATTACAATATCCAGTCTTATATAAGTTGATCAAAGTCCTACATTGATTTTTCTGTTCTCAAGTGATTAAGGTAAAAAGCTTATTTAATCTGAACTACCGATTAGGGTGAGTATGGTTGGGGTTCTCACAACACGTGTGCAGTATATCAGTTCATAGGGATGAGGTCGAAACCGGGTACATTATTTTATTCTTTTATTTCTGTGTAGACGATTTAGGCCCTATTCGTGTAAACAGATTGCTATGAAATGTTTGTCATAGTTTTTCAGTATTATCAAGGTTGACTGTGTAAGCTGACGTCATATAGTGTAAGGTTCTCAATCCTTGAGCTCAGCGGGATTTTTAGGGAATTCTGTCGGCGTAAGCTGCATCATAGTCTAGGTATTTCATTTTACCAACAAAATTAGTTTGCGAAACTTGAAAAGTGTTGCCCTTCGCGTACATCAAGTTGCTCTGTAAAACGCTCTGATAGTGTATTTGTTGAGTATACTAATTTCATCTGGTGAGGTCGGTCAGGGCCAATATTAGACCCAGTATTGCTGCTTGGCGGTTCAAGTCACTACGCCTCATGGCAGGTTGTCAGACAAGAAGGCACTTAGGTGGAAGATAGAGAAATAAGGAAGAAAGTCATGAAGCGAGAACAAAAGTTAATCAGTTATGGAATTTAGTGTGACAAGATCAAGACATGTGGATGCATCCTCGCCTCTGAGTTCGTTTGTAAGCCATATCATCTCGAGTTTCCAGCCATCGGCTTCGATTTTTGCGCAGATCCTGACCGGGAAATTTGCATTTCCTAGCACGACTCAGACCAGGAATGAGAGACTGATGCAATGTTTTATTCTGGTAACCTCTAATCTCCCAGCCTGAACCCACTTCAGCTAACGTGCTACGGGGCAGACGATGACTGCATATGCGTAACACATTTCCCGGCTGCATGAGTCGATGAAAGTTCACAACATCAACTGACGTTCCCCCTCATATCTACGCCTGACTTCCAAGTTATCGGTGTGATTGTATCATGACGCAATGCCTATGTTACGAAGATTATTATTATTATCATTATTAGTCCCTTGGGTCCCTAGTGGAACACAGGGCTTCAGTAGCACGTCTCCAGTGACCTCTGTTCTCTGAGATCTTTTGAACCTGGTTACACGACAGCCCAGAAGCTCTCATTTCCTCCTCGCATGATCTCCTCCATGTCACCCTCACCACGGACACCCAACTCGTCACTTCCCATGGGGATTCCACTCAAGTACCTGGCCTGACGCGTGATGTCCCCAGTCGGCCTTCTCAGTGCATGCCACTTCAATCCATCTCCACTTCCTCCTGCATATTTGTTGCGTGATAGGTTCTTGGTTGGTTCGTTCCCAGAGCTCCTTGTTGCTTATTCTTTCTGGCAATCCATCTGATCTTCAGTAGCGAGCCAGCGTAGGTGGCAGTTGTTGATGAATGTCTGTAGTTTATTGGAAATGCCTTTCGTGACGCGCCAAATCTCTGAACCATACAGAAGCACTGACTTGACTGGGTTGGTGTTGAAAATCCGTATCTTGTTCCGCATGCTGAGTGGAGTGCAGAAGATCTCCACACTGGTTTCAGGCTAATCAACGCCTGTCTTGCTTTTCCGATTCTGACTTTGACATCCTCGTCTGTGCCTGTGCTGCCTGTAGTTGAAACGGTGCTGCCTGCCTAGATAGGTGAAGGAGGTTACTTCCTTTAAGTTTCTCGCGTTGATGGTGACTGGAGTTTGTTGTTGTTGTTGGTGCGGTATCTTCATCACCCCTGTCTTCTCTATATTCACTTGAAGTCCCGTCTTCCTTCGCTACCTCGCCTCACCTCGCCTCTTCTGTCAACTTGTTAGTTTTCGCCTGTAGATCTTCAAGTTTGTGTAACATCAGGCACAAGTCATCATTGGCGAAATCCATGTCTTCTAGGTTCTTTCCCGCAGTCCCGCGTATCCCCCTCTTCCCGCTCCCCACTGTTTGCTGCATGATCCAGTCCAGTCGACCACAATCAGGAATATCATGGGGGATAGTAGGCAACCTTGTTTCACTCCTGTCTTCACTTCACTTCAAAAGCATCACTGAGCTTCCCATTGTGAATTACTTGGCTGGCATGTGGCATCTTCATATAGTTGTTGAATGAGGCGGATAAAGGTTTGCGGTACTCCATAGTAATGAAGCAGTTTCCAAATTACTTCTCGGTCGACGCTGTCAAAGGCCTTCTCAAAGTCGATGAAGTTGAGGTAGAGAGCTGATTGCCATTCTATGCTCTGTTCTATGATGATGCGTAGTGTAGCGTTGCAATTTGGTCTGTACATGATTTGTACTCCCTGAAGCTTGCCTCTTCCGGTCGTAGTTTTGAATCCAGTGCATCCTTTAGCCTCTCCAGGATGATGCGGCTTAATATTTTGCTTGCTTTGGGTGGACAGGAGAGTGATTCCTCGCCAGTTCTTGCAAACACTGAGGTCTCTCTTCTTCGGGAGTTTGACAAGGTAACCCTTCTTCCAATCAGTGGCCAGCTACCTTCTCTTCCTTCCACACCTTCTGCAGTAGTGGTGTGGTGTGAGCATGTCTGCTGTTGTCTCCGTGTCTGTTCTCAGTGCTTCTGGCGGTATCCCATCTGGTCTTGCTGCTTTCCCACATTTCAGTAACTTTCTGGCGTTCAGGACTTCCACTTTTGTTGGAGGATTTATGTTCACTTGTAGTTCTGTGGCCGGGCTGCAGGTGGTATTTCAGGACGAAGTGCAGGTGGTGGTGGTGGTCGATTCAAGAGCTTCTTGAAGTGGTCGGCCCATCGTTTCCTTTATTTCTCTTCTTTGGTAATTAAATTTCCGTCATCATCATTTATTGGCTTCGTCTGCGTTGATCTCTTCCCAGATAGCAACCTGGTTATTTGATACAATATCGTCAGGTCTCTCTCTCCTACCAGCCGGCAGCCTGTTCTGCTTCACTTGCCAGTGTTTCGCAGAAGTGTCTTTTGTCTTTGCGTGCACTCTTCTTTACTTCTTTGTCCAGTGTATTGTTTTATACATTGTGCTCAGTTCCTCTTGTCGTTGAGCATCCTTGCACTGATTTATCTTTTGTTTCACCATCCTCCTCTCCCTGCTCTATCAGCTTCTAGGTATCCGTCGAGATCCATTCCAGTCCTTGTCTTCTTTCTTCTTCCTTCCTAATACTGTTGTGCAGGTTTCTTTCCACATCTCTTTCAAAGACTCCCAGTGTTCTTCCACACAGGTTTCTTCAGGGATGTTCCTCGATATCTCCCATTTTGTTGTGATGGCTGCCGTGAAGATCTCCTTTGTAGTTTCATCCTTCAGTTTCCGAGTGTTGTACTTGAACTGAGGTCTATCACCAGCTTCCTTGAAGGCTTTTAACTTGATTTGGAAGGTTCCTTGCACTAGATAGTAGTCTGAGCCTGCATCTGCTCCTCTTCTTGACCTTGTGTTCAGTAGACTGCGTCTCCATTTTCTTGATATTGAGATGAAGTCTATTTGATTTTTAATGTGCCCTGGTGTCTGGTGAAATCCATGTCGCTTTGTGGATATCCTTGTGCTTGAACACACTGCCTCCAATCACCAAATCGTTGAATGCACAGAATTCTGCAAACAATTCTCCATTCTCGTTCATTTCATCTAGAGCTTCTCGACCCATGGTTAGTTCTCTTCCTGTGTTGTCCCCTCCCAGTTTGGCATTCATGTCGCCCATTAGAATTTTGATATCGCCAACTGGAGTTGAGTCTTGTCCAGTGTTGATTGAAGTTGTCTGTAGAATTCCTCCTTTTTCTCTTGCTCTGCATTATTTGTAGGTGCGTGGCGTAGCATTGTATGATTGTGACCTTCCTTCCTTTTGAGTTGAATCTTGCTGTCATGATGCTGATGCTGGAGGAGATTGGTTCCCACTGCATGAGAGAGACAGCCTTCGATGCTCTTGGGGACATCATGATAGCCACTCCACAACTCATTGTGCTGGTGGTTGTCGTCTGTGTGACAATATCGGAGTAGATTGTTGATTCTCCAGATGACAGTTTGGAGAGTCCACTTCCATTCCATCTGCTTTCGCAAATCCCAGGCACTTCAGTGTGATACCTTCTCATCTCCTTTGCAATGTGGGCTGCCTTACTGGGTTCAAACATCGTACGGACATTCCATGTCCCCATCCTTACTTTCGCTTTAATCTAGAGAGGCGAAGACACATCGGCCCGGTCAATTGGCTTTCTGAAGGCTTTCACCAACCGGCGTCATTTCACCTCTCCGACTCCAGCGAGGAACAACATTGTTTTTATTTTTTATATTTTGTTTGTGCTTTGAAGTTTGTTTAGCGGTTAGATTTGTTTTCCGGTGTAGGGTTGCTAGCCCTATGCCCAACCTTCCCTCTTTACCCGGGCTTAGGACCGGCTAGTAACTAGTGAACTAGTTAACCAGGCGAGGTTATGTTACGAAGATAACGGTGGTCAAACATCTGAAGCTTTCACACATACTCTATCTTTAATGACCATGTTTCACAGCTGTATGTTAAAACAGAGCGACTGCAGCGCAGTGCGCTCGATCGTACTAGATAAGGGAAGTGGTTAGTGCGCTCAACCATTTCACTTCCTATTATTAGACAGCACCACTGAAGACTTGTCCTGTATCAACAGTTTACATTTGGGCGCTGAGAAACGCATCCCAAACATTATCACTTTACCACTCATGGTGTCCAGTAGACCCTCCATCTCGTCATTGTCTTCACCCAACAGAAATTTGTCACTGGCATACACTAGGTCTATCGAGGATTCTCTTGTGTAAGATCAATCCCTGTGAAATAAACCGAAAAAGGGCCGTCTTCACAAGTACGTCTATAATAAAATTGAATAAGAATGGGAAGTTTACATCCTTGAAGGACCCGCTTGACTCATAAAATGCAGTTGCAGACCCATCATTCCTCGCTGTTGTTTCACTTACCATTGACCCTTTCGCCCCAGTTTTCATGATCAGTCTAAATGACTGTCTACTGTTACCTGTCACTGCTGCCTTTTTTAAAATCTCTTTTGCCTTCACTGTTCGCGGTCATTGTGTAGAAGTTTTGGAAGTCTACATTTAAGTAGCTTCAGCTCTTCATGTTACTCCGAGTCTACAGGAGTGCGTTCAAGCAAACCCATTGATTCAGAAGAAGCTTTTGAAATTAACTGACTTTCTGAGAGCCAGTCGGGTTTTAACGCTTTTTTTACAGCAGACTTCAGATGGCTCCGGGTTTCTTCTGGATAAGTGACGTCTTATTCCGTTAACTCTCTGGCCAGTTTCTATCTAAAAGTAGGCTTAGAATTCTCATCGTACAGTGTCTCACACAGTGGTCTTGTCGTTATCGTTTTCCTATATTCATTTTGGTGTGGACATACGCGTTCTCGAACAAACGTGATCATCGTTAAGTCTTGCTCAGAAAGGAGTGGCTATCTCCCACTGGGCCTTTTCCGCGATAACTGTTAACAATACAGTCTGTCTGTGTCCTCCGTTGAGTTAAGGTCGGTAGATGTCACTTCAAAAAATTTCTCTCTGTATGTTTGAAGGTTTTCCTGGCCAGAAATAGATGGTTGTCTGAGCACAGATGTAGCAGGCAATCGCCGTTATCCGTATGTTAGGGCAGCATTACTAAAGTTCCACCTAATTGCTTTTCTGCATGGTTCATCGTACCCACTTATGCTTTTAAATCATCTGCTGTGTCAGTTGAACCTAGACTAGAATTCATACTTCACTTCTTCCGAACTGCAGTTAGTTGGTGCGTAAGCAGAGGTTATTTTAAAGACGGTGGGTCTTACGGTTCCTTTTAGTTCTTATTGTGCTGTTCAGTCGAACAGTCAACTTAATTCCACTTGATCAGTGAACTTTCTGCTTTACGAATGTTATACCTACACCTGCAAGACCACGAGGACTAGTCATTAGATATCCAGAAACTCGAAGGCTGAATTTCTCAGACGCACCACAGTTGGGTGGGGTTAAGTGAATAACCACGCTTGGTTTCTGTGTGTATATTTTACAAACACAAAGTACTTTCATGACCGGAGATCCCAGAGTTTATGGCTAGCGAGGCTTATTGTCCCACTTCAAGGAGGGTGCGGCTATTGAAAACTACCATATGTTATTTGATGTGTGGTTTCAGGTGAGCACGGATGCTTTTCGGTGAACTCAATTCGTCATTAAACACTACAGAGCTGAAAAAGATTAAAGATGACCTGGGAGCATTGACAAACTGATGCTAGAAAAATTAGACGGTGAAGATGTGAAAGGTTGATCATGATCTCAGGGAGCTAACGTTCTGGCAGTATTGTGAGGATGGTTTACACTTCCCCGCTGTTCATATCGTGCAAAATTACTTATCGAGGTATTTAAGCAAGAAATCGGGTTAGTAATAATGATGTGTAAACATAGAATGCACATGGCATCTGTTTGAAGCCGCTAACATGGCTTTTTGAAAATCTGATATTTACGAATGTCCTAGAAGAATTTGAGCCCCGAGTCGTGTTTAGTCATCATAAAGCCAGTTTAAATATAATCCCAACAGACTATACTGCTTTGGCACATGCAGCAAACCGTTCACAGAAATCTTTGTTTTGATTTTTCAAACATACTGGGATTATATTAAAAGCTACTTTTATGATTTGAGGTTTGACGTATATCGGTTTAAATTCAACTGAAAAACTCATACGTTGCCAGGATACCTTGGGGCAGGGCCGATATCGTACGTCTATGCTTGACTCTTCCTAATCCTCCTATCGAAAGGCAGCATTAGCAAACTACTACTAGTCTTCTCAGGCAAACACGTTACTTCTGTCACACCCCCTTCAGTTAGTGATACGACTTTGCCATCGGAATTCCATCACAGGTTAGTAATTTACACTGTGACGTAACTGCTTTTTATCTCACCTCTGTCGAGCAGACGTTCCGGGTGTTGTAGGACTTCAAGAGAACGAGTGCTACATCAGCATAGCTCATTAGGTCATTGTGATGTGCAAACTCGACCACGATATTGAGGTAATAGCCACAGGCCGGCATTCCAAATTTGACCTGGAATAACCACTACTTTACCCCGTGATTTGGGATTACGTTTCCGGTGTAGTCTACTCCTATTTTCGGTTGTATGAACAAAATTTACGGGATAATTATTCGTTCCAAGGACTTTTGTTACTTTTTTAAAGTTTCTTTTGTATTTCTATTCATTATAAGTATGTGCCCTTTGAAGACTGTAGATGACAGAAATCTTTGCACTCGTTGAGTGTTAAATAATTAAAATCTAAATATTTTTTTAGAATATGTCACTTTTCTTGAAAATGGTCATGCTCATTAATGTCTGTTTTCTTTCTGTCTAGCTAGACATTGAAGTAAGAGCATTTCACTATTGTCGGATTCTGTTTCTACCATAGTGGGGGGTTGTGTGGTCTAGTGTTTAGGGTATCTAAGAATGCGTAAAGCATGTTGTGTTTGAGTAACAAGAATGTTTTATCAGGATATCTTGCCAAATTTTTTGGTGCATGCGAAACGAAACTCCACATTTTCTCCCGAATAGGTTTACTACTATGGTTGACACAGGTAAACCTATAGCTATTCCTTTGTTTTCCCGGTTTAATTTCCCTTAAATAAAGGATATTTATTTTCTGAACAAATGTTTAAGGTTTTGATGCCTTCAGTATTCAGTAAACATCTTTCTTCGATAGCTATATTTGTTTCGCAAATTAGAAATAATATCTTGACCCTTAGCAATCGAAGTGTTATTATCTAATGGACTCTTTTGGTAGCTTACCATTGTTTCATCCTGACCAAGTTTTAGTGCCTATTTTTGGATTTAAAGGCGACTAAAATCTCTGACATGGATTCCGAGATGTTTTGGAGGCTCTTCAATACTGAGGACGTGATGTTGGCGTTGGTATTTTCCTTAGGTTCCGAGTACTAAGCAATGGTCAGGTGTACTCATATTTACTTGGTTCCAGTAATTTGGTGCCATAAATTGGCCATCGTAATTTACTTACTTTCGTAGTTACCTTACTGCTATTTTTATATCACATAGTGTCTAAACGTAAGAACAAATAGTAATGTAACTACAGGTTTAGTTAAGAAAAAGTGATTGACAAAATCAGCGTAGAACCTCACACATAAATACATCGGTTCGAGTTGCCACACTTGAAAGCAGAATACAGAGAGCAAGTAGATGGAAGAACAGTGATATCAAAGAAGACAAAGTAGTATGAGAGAATAAGCAATCTGAAGATGACGCTTAATGGGAATATTCAAGCTTCAGATGATGTCAAGGAGTGAGTACATCTACGCCGTTGTGACGGTGACCGATTTCCAGCCATGTCACTGAGAATCCTCAACCACTAATTGTTTTCATCTCGGTGACTCTAACTGGGCAGTCTACATCTCCTCACATGGCCCTGGCTGACAGTAAGAGACTTGATCGACTGGTACCAGGTTTGGTCTGGTCATGCTTAACCTTCTTGAAACATAATTCAACTTTCCCCTACTGTGGCACGTTGATGTAGGCAATGGCTTGACGTGTCCAGTGTATGTCCATTCCATGTCAACCGATGAAAGTTCACAACCAGACATCAAGTGTGAAAAGGTATAAAATTGGAGAACTAATTTGTTTCACGATATCATTCAGTGTTTTGGATGCAGTAAGATCTCCACGTGACTTGGAATCAAGGTGGTTAAAAATTTGAATTTTTATATTGACGATCTTAGTCTTAATTAGATATCTACCCAGTCAAAATATATTCTTATCTCATTGGTCAAAATAGGTAAACCTCGTATTTTTATGTAGAGAAATGTGGTCAAGAAATCTGAAGCATTTGCGGTCTAGAATGATATCGTTTTCTGTAAGTGTTCATTTCAATACTAACACTGTTTAGGTCTGTAATTGTATTGTTCATAGTATTTTTTTTCCTAGCACTCTATCTGTTTCTGGATAAACCCATGGGGTTGGTTGTTGAGCAATAGTTGATGTTTTATATATCTGATTTCTTGACACACGTTTTCTGCCTTACCAGTCAGTCTTCATGTTGAAGCCAGTTTTAACTGATATCTGATGAGATGGCCTGAATTCTGAGTATAGGTTAGAGCGTGAAAGCTTCTTGTAGACATTAATATCTGAACATCTCATTCACACTTGGAAGCAGAGAAAATTAATTAATTTTCGTTCTTTGATTTATTTGGTATTTCGTCTCATCCTATATCAGTTGAGGCAGGTACGTGTTTAAATAACAGAGCATGAAGACTGACTAGTAAAGCAGAAAGTCTATGTGAAGAAATGATACGTATAAGTGGTTCATTATTGCTCAGCAACTAACCCCGTGGCTTTGACTCAAAGTACATAAGAAGTGATGGAAAAGATACTGCAAATAATGCAATTACAGTATAGACAAAAACAGTGTTAGTAATAAAACGATGGAGAAGTGTTTTAACACCTCCGTAGTTTCAACATACAGAGGAAGGACATCAGAAACCCTACGTGGGATTTCTCATAATGCCAGGGTTAAAATGGCATTAAAACCTACAGACTCACCTAGAGATAAACTTTGTCGGCCAAGGATTCTTGTCAAACCTATTAAACAAAAAGGTTTAGTAAAAACAAATTCTGTCTAATAACTGTGAGCTCATATACAAGGGTCAAACTGGCCGGCTGGAGTCAATTAGAGGCGCAGAACATAGATTTGGTTATGAGCACTACATTTTGCTTGATAGGTTAGCAGTAAATAATACTGTTATCCAAAAAGGAACTGTTATGGCATAGTGGTATACCATAGTGTCCAAATTCTATTTGCATATTAGTTTCAGCCATTGAATTATTAACTTGGCGCATTACGAAAAGCATTTGCAACAAACAACTGCAGACATACATCATCAACAGCTGCTTACGCCCACTCGATACTGACACTGAAGATCAGATGGATTGCCAGGAAGAATAAGCAACAAGGAACACACTCTGGCTACCTGGTAACGAACCAACCAAGAACCTATCGCCCAACAAATATGCAGAAGAAAGTGGAGATGGGTTGGATTGGGCATACACTGAGAAGACTGATTGGGGACATCACGTGCCAGTTTAAGCCCTTGAGTGGAATCCAAATGGGAAACGACGAGTTGGGCGTCAGAGGCGAGGGTGACATGGGGAGATGACATGAGGAAGAAATGAAAGCTTGTGGGCAGGGGTGGGACCAGGTTGAAAAATTGCGGAGAACAAAGTGAAATGGAGATGTGCTAGTGAAGCCCTATGTTCCACTAGGAACCCAAAGGACAAATAATAATAATTGAGTCATTAGCAATTGATGAAGTCTACTGCAATGTAATGATTTAATGCTTCGTTTTGTGCTACTCATTTCTTACACACTGTCATAGTGTGGAATGAGATTACCATAATCTTAATAAGCCGTGAATCCTTGAAGCTTGTTAAGACCTATCGTTTTGCTCCGAAGTTTAGGGAAGAAGCGCGTGAACCAACGTTTAAATGTAAGATTGGCTGAAGAGACAAAAATCAATAGGATATTTAAATCTAGAACCACCTGGAAATAACCAAGGCCACAGTAATACACCTTATCATACCTCCTTTTCCATTGATCGAGAAAACTAAGCGACTAGCAAGGGGTGGGAACTGAAGGTTATTGTCCAAATATCATTATATGTATATACTGCGTAATGCTTTACTGATCTACTATTTTCATTAGTTTTACGTTCGTTTCCAAGTCATTGTACCAACTCTCAATAAAGGGAATAATTCCCTTGAAAGTGCTCTCTAGTAACATTTATTACTCAGTAGGTTACAAGTAGTATAGTAGCAAATGCACATATTCGTGATTCAATGCAGTATTGTTTTATGTAAAACACCAAACCAGCCTGTTTTTTTTTTATTGTAATATACAAGATGAAGACGGGGAAAAAATTACTGACTGTTTACTTTATGCTGTGAACTGAATTTGTGATGCTGTTTGCACCTGTATTCTAATGCTCTTTAGGTAACTTTGAAATTCAATTTTTATTTGTCAACAAGCATCTTTCTCTAAAGATATGCACTTTGTATTTAGTTGGTTAGCGGCTATAACTTCCTTCGTTATCAGTAACACAGATTATTATGGATAAGTTGTTGAACCTCACTAATTGCACTTAATATCTGACCAACAATTACTGACTAGACGATTGTATGGTTTCTATCCATCCACTTATTATTGGATGGTCGAAGTACGGAATATGAGTTACGAATACCAGGCATTTAAAATTTAAATGAATGAGGGTAGGATATAATTTAGAAATTGTAATAATTAAGTAAGTTATGCATTCCAGTTACAACCAAATCCCAATGGAATAAATGAATCATTTGTTGCACCAACTATTGAAATTATTATTGGCGTATATTTTGTATAATTTGAGTAAGGACCCTTTTTAAAAATTGAATTCATAGGACAACTCGAGTTTCTTATTTTGAGAGTATACTGATTATTCTTTAGTGAGTTGAATGTATTCTCCGTAGAGTTACTGGTTTCTGCTTCGCGTTTATCAACTTCTGAATTCGACCCTGTGAAGAAATTGTGTCTGCGTCATCAATTGACTCGTTCAGAAGAGGGCTGGGCAATCATAGATGTCTACTGGGAAAGGATTGATATAAGTTCATAGCCTTCTATCCTCAAACTACAAATCTGAGTCTGAATGCACAACGATCTATGCTTTTGAAGGCTTTCTTTCTGAAACACTAATGTACTGACAAAGTGAGTGTTATATTCTGAATTATTCTAAGTAGCGAATGTCAATATAACATAGGAAAATAACTGGAATAAGAAAAGATCGGTCATAGAGATGTATGAAAGTTACTGTCGAACTAATCCTAGATAAGGCATTAGCTCTAAAAAGGTGTTGGGGCTATATCTGGCTCCGAAATACTGTTACTTTTGTTAGTATTGCAAACATTGCTGATTCACTTGCAACAGACAGTGTTTAAAATGGCGATAACGTGAATTATTAAATGGGAGGTTGTGTTGTAGTGCAGATTCCTGGCACCAAAATACAACTAGGGCTAAAATAGATAGATTAAATTGACTAAATAAACCTCTAGTTCGCCTTCGCATACTCAAGGTGTTTAAGTTTTGTTTTGACGAGAAGGCTTCGACGCCATTTTGCTCTCGCTTTGTGCTGGTTAACACGCACAAACTCAAAGTCCTTAGTTCAGCTATACTAGCCAGATAAGTTGAATAAACTTTTCCCCTATCGATTACTATTACATTTATTTTAATTAACAATATTACTTCCTTGAATATATTCCTGAATACCAGTCCTTTTGATTTGTGTTTCGTTATCAGTACTTACACGTTAGATAAGGTACTGGTTAAGCAAGTGCTAGAGCACTTCGAGTTGAGTAGAGTTGGTCAAACGTTGCGTAATAGTAACACAGTCAACAAACCCTACAGTGTTAGTGATAAGACAGCAAGTTTTAGACCAGTAGGAAGTCGGCAGAATGTTCTTTGTCAGGTTGACTAGCCAAGTTTTAAATTATATGATCAATATTAAGCATACCAGCGAATAAAATATATAGTGCTTGCTACGAACACTTGACTTTCAAATGGATTGCAAAACCACTTCGTGTTTTGAGCTGCCAGTTAGTATAATTGGTCTTGACGTGATGGATTTGGCTCATAACCCATTACGTTTGTGGTGGATGCTTTAACACTGTGATCAGTTTTAATTTTGGTGATATTTCACGAACCAAAAAATTTCCTTCAAGCCATATAATGCAGATAGAGGATGCAACAAGCAAAAGAAGACAGATTAAGTATAATTTACAAAACCAACTACAGTCAGCACTACACTGAAAAAATTGGTCGGCTTCTTCTTCGTCTAGATGAACATCAGTTGGTAATTAAACGTCACAATATTTCGTCGGTCGGATCAATTTACGCGCATAACTATGGTCATGAATTTGATTTTTAAAATGTGGAAAGATAAAGAATATTAGTGGATTTCTAGAGACTTGGCATTCAGATCAGGCAATAAGCAATAGTGGTTACACGTACAGTTGGTCTATTAACCAATAACGAAAATGATAAAATCTCTTGCTGTCAGAGGGATGGCAGATCGAAAAGTCTCTCCAATCAATGATGAGACAACTCAAGAACAGCCTACCAAAACATTGAAACTACTACTGATGATACTGCCTATGAAGACAACGACAGCTTTAAGATTAAACCATCTAGCTTAGTGATCGCAACATAAGCAAAATCGTCCAACACATATCCTCCATCATTTTGAAAAGAAAATCAAATTGTAAGCTCTTACTACAAAGTTACTGACAATGCATGAGTGGAATGGTATAATCCTAATGTTTGTAGAGTAACTGTAGAACACAGAGAAACTGAAAATATTGTTACAGGAAATGTCAGTGAACAAATCACTGGAAATATATGATGCTGTCAGATACTTCATTGATTACGTTTCCCTCAAATCAAGATCTGTATAGGTTTTCAGAAAGTATTTGATCAGTATGCATGTGGTGCACTGTAAATTGATAGTTTCTACCGTTTGGTTCTTAAATATCTTGGGAAGTACACTTCTGGTATTGATAGAAAGCGCTGGACATGGCTTTCAAACTTGTTGCCACTCTATCCATCGATGGATTTCTGTCATTGGCAAGCGTAAAGAACTAGACAGCTACATAGATTACCCATTGGTGACCTATTCCTGTAATTACATCTTTCCTCAGCATTTACCCAGTGTCTTTTAAAAATGACATTTAAAGTATTGTTACACTCCTAAATATGGAGTTTTAAACAACATACGAGAATTAGTGTTTACAGTACTTTGCAATGAATTACAGTACTGTAATGACCAGTTATCA